GTTAGTAAATTAATTTTAATTTGTATTCGATGGATTAAATGCAGCTACATTTTCTCCGGACATCTCACATTTGAATGCGGCTTGCATATCACAATCCAAAATGTAACTCAAAACTTTATCCGAAACTTTCCATTTTGTATGCAAGTATGCTACATAGGACATTCACGATTAAGGCCATCTTTCACACAAGCGTTTTCTCACAAAAATAAAGTTTTATCACTTTTTTTCTCGAGCGTACAACTGATGATCATGTGTTTGTGCAGAGAAGCTTGATTTGTATCCCTGTAAACTCAAGTTGTTGTCTAAACTTTGTCCTTAAAATACACGCAAAAGCTTCGCTTACCGAATTCAAGCATTATCCGTTAGAACGAAATGAAAAGCTTTGTTCTCCTTGGATAGGATAAGATAAACCTGTAACTTTTCAGAACCGTTTCAATTGGAAAGTGTGCAAAAGCAAAAGGATTTCATTAGAGAGAATACAACAAATGTTTGTTAAATCTGCCACAGATAAACGAACGCACAATTCTTCTATTTTTTAAAAATAAATTTTGAGTAGTCACTTGTGTTTGAAAATATTAATTAATGGTCATTTTTAATCATCTGTCAATGTGAAGTGTTTTCCTATTTTTATTCCTAACTGTCCTCAATTACAGCCACTTGGATTTTTTGCATATCACAGTATCTTGTGGACGACGTTGCTCTTCATGTGAAATTTTTCGCAATAAACTTTTCTATCCACCTAATATAGATCTAGAAAGTGACAGGTGTCAAACCTGTTTGCAGTTCCACATTAAAAATTCCAAACATGATACATTGAAATCTATAATGACACGTTTCCAAGAAAGTAGAATCATTTCTCTTTAAACGGGAAATTTGAAAAAGAAAATTTAATGATTCATAATACCTAAATAGTAACGGTTTCATTTCCGAGTTCACAATGCAATCATAATTTCCCATCCATGCAACAATTTCAAAATCCAAAAATAGCACACTGCATTAGAATATGGGAAAACTGGCGTAAAGTGCCGAGCTGAGGTGCCTCACGTCCGATTTGATTCGCCTATGCGAGCTGGAATGTAAACAAACCTGCATTTTCACACATCGGAATCGTTTGCACGTTTCAGCTTGGTGGAGTTGAATGTTGATTTTTGCCATTTTCCCGATGCATTTTCGTATTTATTTTTTGATGGAGTTCGCCCAGTAGGTTGTAGAATTCCACCAACAACGGCTACTGCTTCCCATTGCAAGTGTTTGTTCCTTAGCAACGTGTTTTACGACACCGGCGGCGATGGTTGTTAAAACCCACGGAGTAATGTTTGCTTTGATAATTCCACTCGCTACAAAACATTGACTCTGACCCGACTCCAAGCTGCTCCTGTGTGTAGGTTACCAGGGGGAAATTGTTTGTGTTTGCGTCGCCCGGTGTGGTGGGTGGGTGGTTGTGAGTGGAGGACCATAAATTATATTTCTCGTTTTCAAACTTTTATAGCAGGCCAGAGATGAAGCAGCAGCAGCAGCGGTTGCAAGTGTGAGAAAAATTACAACCTGTGTGGAAAGTGGACACAGATGAAGATGCCATGGATGGGAGGGGGGCAAGGCCTGAGCTGTGAACCTGAATTGCGTGCTCCTTCGGATGTGTGTTGGATGCAGGATGGGAAAAATCATCGCTAACGTAGATGGTTTCGGGAGGGAGAAAGTTTTCTTGTTCTTAGCCAGAATCCCTACACAATTGATGTATAAGTTAGCATTTGAGTGAATAATTCAGAAATGAATATAAATTCTGATTTTTGCAAAACCTTTCCGCAGTAGAGAATTTGATTTCCTCGGGAAAGGAGATAAATAATTAAACAATTGAAAGCGACGGTCTCGATGACAAATGTGATAATTTTTTTTATTATTTATAACAGTGCAAAATATTAGTGACAACTTACATCCATATAAAGCAAAAGAAACAAGAATTAGTAATTTACATTTAATTCCACAATGTTAATTTCTTATATTCAATATGCAAATTTCAAAGATAAGCTTATACAAACATTGCTTAGTTCGCCGATAGTTTTTTCCTAGATTTTCCCAGTCTAGATTCCAGGAAATGAAATTTAACAGAGATAACGTCAATAGTTTGTTTATTTACTCGATAAATCTTGGATAACATTTCGCTGAATCTCAGCAAGTAAATGTAATTTGAGCTGAGATCCCAGTAACATTTGTTGTTGGGCTCTCAGCTTTGCAAACCTCAATCAAAACAAAGTGTGAACATGGAATGATCAATCCTTCTATACTTCTTAATACACTAAATACACCTACATTCCTCAGGGAAATAACTTCCGTTGTTTAAAAATGCGTTCCAAAGATTCCTAATGACCTACGATTGTTTAAAAGCTTCTCATTTCTAGTCCAAATGCCATGATTTACCGAGACTCATAAAAGTCTTTCTCTTAGATATAATAGACACATTTAACTTGTGATTAGATTAACTGCATTAAGCAGAGTTCTGTTGACAAAGAAGGTCGTTAACATTAAGTTTCTCTACCAGAAAAGAAGCAGTGACAGCCGTAAATTATAAACACTGTCACAGCCAATTACGTTCGCTGGGATGTTTCAAATATTGGACAGACGCGAATCTATTTGAATATCTGAAAACTGACTCATGGGTTCTGTGCTATTTTGCACATATACAAAATGAAATCATATGTCCGAATCAATTTAGTAAACAATCCCACAACGTGCGGTTTTACGGCAAAATGTCATTTATAATTCACACAGTCGACTCTGGGAAAATCTTCCCCGAACCATTCGGCTTGAACCTTTCTCCTCGGGTGGAGCGGTACTACGTGGCCTCCAAAAAGCAAGGTGACACAAATGTATCCCGGTCGGATCGTAAATCTTACCTATAAACACCACCTACCACGCCGACGACACACCGACCTTAATCTGTAATAAAAAATGAAAAGGAAAACAACACATTCCAGCCGCTACCGTCCCTCCGGATCGTCGTTGGTTGGTCATCTTCAAACGATTTTTCGGTGCTTTCTGTGTTGCCTTTGGGGTATGGCTGGTGTTGATTTCGGGCATAGATGCGGGAAACAGACTTGTACCCGGAGCGGAAATCACCTTGGTGAGGATTTAAAGGCGAATCTATGTCTTTTTCGTTATCTGTGTTATTTCCCAGAGAACACACATTATAGACAAATTTATTGACGTTGCGTCGTAAAGGTAAATAGGTAGAAAGGATACACGATTTCAGGTCGTAACTTTAGCAGGCATTAGTCGCAAGTAGAGTAAACGTACCAGTCATGACTATACTTTCCTTCTATGGTGTGTTCTCAGTGTGCAAAAATTCCATTAGTATTTTCATCGTGTGAATTTTGTGATAAGCAGATGAATTATTTATGTTTTTTTTTTCGAAATGTACAAAAAAAAATAATTTCAATTGTTCGATACTATCTAGCTTCTACACTCGAGTGTTATCAAATGTGTATCACTTCGCACGCCAATCGTGGGTCAACATTTTTCTCAGTGTGCCGCAAGTGTACCGCTGGTGTGCCGATTGTTCCGGCAGTACCGGGCATATAACAAGCCGCAATTTAAAAAAAAAATACGAATAGTATGGTCTGTGGTATGGTATATTTGGCAACCTAAAGGGTGATACGGTCAAAATTTGGTCAAGGGAAAACGCGTGTAAATCGGTGAAATCGTTTATTTAAAAAATCAAATTAAATTTCTTTTTCAAGTTCAATTAGTATAAAATTCAGGAAAAATATTCAGTTAGGCTTCCGCTTTTCCAAATCCGAATTGCCGGGCCTTACGCTTGACCCCTGCCATCAGATTTTGTACAGCCACCTTGTCCACCTTCTTCGCCGCAGAAAGCCAGTTTGCCTTGAACTGCTGCTCGCCCTTAGCAGTTTTTTTGGTCTTCTTTAGGTTCCGCTTGACAATAGCCCAGTATTTCTCAATTGGGCGGAGCTCTGGCGTGTTGGGAGGGTTCTTGTCCTTGGGAACCACCTGCACGTTGTTGGTGGCGTACCACTCCATGGCCTTTTTACCGTAATGGCAAGATGCCAAATCCGGCCAAAACAGTAAGGAACAACCGTGTTTCTTCAGGAAAGGCAGCAGACGTTTATTCAAACAATCTTTCACGTAAATTTCTTGGTTGACAGTCCCGGAAGCTATGAAAATGCTGCTTTTCAAGCCACAGGTACAGATGGCTTGCCAAACCAGATATTTCTTTGCGAACTTTGACAGTTTCATGTGCTTGAAAACATCTGCTACCTTTCCCCGTCCTTTTGCCGTATAAAACTCCTGTCCCGGAAGCTGCTTGTAGTCGGCTTTGACGTAGGTTTCGTCGTCCATTACCACGCAGTCAAACTTCGTCAGCATCGTCGTGTACAGCCTCCGGGATCGCGCTTTGGTCGTCGTATTTTGTTTATCATCGCGATTTGGAGTCACTACCTTCTTGTAAGTCGATAGTCCGGCTCGTTTTTTGGCTCGATGCACGGTTGTAGATGATACACCCAGCTTATTTGCGGCATCTCGGAGAGAGAGGTTAGGGTTTCGCTTGAAACTACCGGCAACTCTCTTTGTCGTCTCAGCGGCTTCCGGTTTTCGATTTCCCCCCGATCCAGACTTCCTGGCTGTCGACAAACGTTCCCCAAACACTTTAATTACATTTGTAACGGTTGATTTGGCAACTTTTAGCGATTTTGCCAACTTTGCGTGCGAGTAGCTCGGATTTTCGCGATGCGCGAGCAAAATTTTGATACGCTGCTCTTCTTGCTTGGACGGCATTTTGACAACTGAAGAGTGAATTCCAAAATCAAAATAGGAGCAACATTCTACACACACACACACCTTCAAAATGAGGGGTGTTCAGGTTTTTTAAATGCAAAATTGAAAGAAATACGTCAAGTTGATATTGACCAAATTTTGCCCGTATCACCCTTTAGTACATATTTCTGACTGCTTGAATGTTTAGGTTTGCTATCACAACGGCCCCGAAAATGTCGAATATCGTACTCGATAAGGATTTCTTCTACCGACGAATAAAACGCCTCTACGCCAACTGGAAGGAACCAGAGTTTTCCCATGATTCGCTGCAGATTGTGGATTGCATTCTGATGGCGGTCGGTGTAGACGAGGAAACCATCTACAGCAAATCAACTTCGCTGAAGACTTGGCTGCTGGGATACGAGCTGATCGATACGATTACGGTGCTATGCGAAAAGTCAATCTTTTTCCTGACCAACAAGGAGAAGGTTGATTTCCTGAAGCAGATCGAGAAGGACGGTGAGGAGGGCATTCCGTCGGTGAAGCTGTTGGTTCGGGAAAAGAACGACAAAGACAAGGCCAATTTTGAAAAGCTGCTGGAGGCGATTAAGGGATCCAAGGATGGCAAAACGTTGGGCGTCTTCTCCAAGAACAACTTCCCGGGTGAATTCTATGAATCGTGGCGCCTTCAGCAAGGACAAGAGCTTCGACACGGTGGGCATCAGCGTCCCAATCGCGTACATCATGCCCTCCAAGGACGACTCCGAGGTTATCACCATCAGACGGTAGACGTATTCAACAAGTACCTCAAGGATCACATCATGGAGATTAGGGATGCTGGTAAGAATGTGAAACATGCCAAACTGTCGGAGGGTGTCGAGCAGGCACTGACGGACAAAAGATACGTCTCCGATGTGGATACCAACTAGTTGGACATATGCTACCCGACCATTATCCAGTCGGGTGGCAATTACAGCTTGAAGTTCAGTGCATTCAGCGACAAAAACTATCTGCACTTTGGATCTATCATCTGTGCTCTGGGTGCGCGTTACAAGTCCTACTACTCCAATGTCGTCCGAACGTTGCACTACACCTTACTGCTCAATCTGGAAGAGGAACTGCTGAAGGTGATGATTCCGGGCAAGAAGCTCTCGGAGGTTTTCGACGAAAAAGGATCTCATACTAAGACGTTCGGTTTTACCATCGGGTTGGAGTTCCGGGAGATTTCGATCGTAGTACCTCAACAAGTGAAATTCAGTTTAAAAATTGTAAGTTAATTAGGTTGAGTAGGAGCAATAAAAATTTCGCGTGATACTGCCATGAAAATTAGTTCGGTATTAGTTCGGTGATACTCTAAGGAAGCCTTAGTGTGAAACTTCAAAGGCACAAATGTCAGCTTCCACAAAACATACAAATTTGAAATTGCTACTCTCTGGTTTTTAGTAGCACAGCAAACAAGGAGTAGCAATTTCAAATTTGTATGTTTTGTGGAAGCTGACATTTGTGCCTTTAAAGTTTCACGCTAAGGCTTCCTTAGAGTATCACCTTTGAGTTTGCTTTGACCGACTACTTTTCACGGCACAATCCCACGGATTTTTAATGCTTCCACTCAACCTAATTATGTTTTATTTTTGTTATAAAAATCAAAAACCATTTATTTCATCTCGTATAAGATGACACATATCCGAAAATAAAACTACTTTTTTACTTAATTCAAATTTAAACCGAAATCTCACTACAAATTAACATACGTCGCATCGGTGGTAAGGCCACAGTTGTTACCCTTCACCGCCATCAAAGCATATCCATCGTTGCCCCGGTAGATCTTCGGCTATAATCGAACTGATCTCGGTAACGTTTGAACCAGAACGTTCTGATTTCGCATCGAAACAATCAACTCCATGACGCCGAATGGTACTGCCGGCAGTGATCAGAGAGTAGTCCGAGTGTTAGCTTTTGGCGGCCAGCTTCGTGTTGAGTATCCGCAGCTAATCGTCAGTCGTCAATTGTGCTTCCCAAATCTGTGTCAACTTCCGAGCGTTGTAGTCTTCGAACCAAATTATCCAAATCGACCTTATGCAACTCGGGATTTTCCTTTTATTATTCTTCCTTGTGCAGTTCGAACTACTGCTGGTAGTCCTGGCACAGCTTGGTCTGCTCCAGATCCTATGGAACTTCCTCCTTGGTCTGTCCGGGGACATGCAGCGTCGTGGTAGGAATGTTGAAAAGATCACTGTCACTTTTAAATAGAATTCTATAAATTATAGCCTTCTACAACTGTGCCATAACAATGCATCTAATCACCTCTCAGCGAAATTATACCAAATTGAACTAGTAAACGCGTTTTCACTTATTTAAAAATGTGATAAAAGTGCGAGTTTCCGTATAATCGTCTTACTGTCTTCGGTGCCCTGAAGACACCAAAACGATTTGACGGAAACGTTCACTTTTATTACACTTTATGCATTTTTGGGGCAGTCCATTGACAGATGCAATCAGCAACAATAAACTTATTGTTTGACCAACATCTAAGCATCGTTATCGATCGTGAAAAAGTGACAGTGTTTACACTCATGAGTTTTCCAATCACATAATGGGAACAAATAGCCAGGCATGGAAAATCATTTGCATTCATGTACATTCATTTGCCCTTAATTTTTTTTTATCAACAGAATTCCGCAAAATGATGCAGCTTTTGTAGGTTTTGTTATAAACTACAACTTTTGTTAACAACTCAAATTCGTATCTCTTAGGCATGACGAACCAGAGCGAACAGAAGCCACTACTGTTTTCAATGAATGTATTTTACATTCACTGAAAAACAGTAACAAGTTCTACCCACTTTAATTCGTGATGCATAAAAGATACAGATTTGAGTTACTGGCAAAAGTTTTAGTTAATAACATAACCTACTAAAGCTCTTTACATCATTTTGCGGAATGCTGTTGATGAAAAAAGTTAGAGGCAAATGAATGTAAATGAATGCATTAAATGAATGTAAATGATTTTCCATGCCTGCATATAGCCATGACTCAGAATTATATTTCCACTGACTTGCTATAAAAAATTGTTTTTCACAATTATGAAATCATTAGATGATAAGTTGTAAGTTACAAGAAGAGGTTGTAAAATATGTGTATCCTGTCAATATTAAGATTCGTGAGGGCTCACTCTGATTTTTATTTAAAATATTTTATTTGAGAGATTTTTAGCTAACTCTGAGAGAACGCTCACGCTCTGAATGGCAGTTTTTATGAGTAAAACACATACTTTCCAACCTCTTCTAGCATCTTGCAAGAACTAAAATCAATCATGTTATTAACCGGAACAACCGCAGTTTGGATCTTTGTTTTGTAACCGTCCAGGACATAGCTCCTTTCTTATGCGAGGCGCCCTCTCCTCTAGTGAGACTGGATCGGCACCATCCGCCGCTACTGATGACGTTAAGTACTAAGCTGATACATGATTTTAATATTTCACCAGCCACCTTTTCCTACGATTTTCGTAGCGCCGACCATGGTAGTATCGCCGAGTTACTCTCCAGTTTAGATTGGGACGACTTATTGGACACCGTTGACATTGAGTCCGCCGTTCAAACTATTTCCAATGTCCAATGTTTCATATGTCATTGACAGACACGTTCCGAAAAAGATTCATCATCATACGACCCATCCACCATGGCATACGAGCGAATTTCGTCGACTGAAATCCAGAAAGAGAGCCCTTCAACGTCACTATGTCAAGATCAATCACGAATACAAACGAGCTGCGAAAAGGTGCTTTCTTCAGTATCGACGTGGATTGCGGGTGTCCCAAGCAGTTTTGGAAGCTGGTCTGCCGTCGTCTATGATACATAATGGTAACGTGGCCTCATTTACGCAAGATATTTGTCAGCTGTTCTCTGAAAAATTTGGTAGAGACTAAGTGACGACCATGCCCGACTGGCTGCCAGTCGAGTGGTACGTGAAACTGGCCAAACCATGAGCAGAATTGATATCAATCCCGAGACGTTTACCAGGGCTTCCTCGAAACTCAAGTCGTCGTAAAATCCGGGTCCTGATGGAATTTCACTGGCGTTCCTCAAAACGCACTTGGACAGTTTGTTGTCTCCACTGCTGCACGTTTTTCAACGGTCCGTGGACGTCGGCGTTTTCCCATCCTGTTGGAAGCTAGCGAACATGTTTCCAGTACACTAGAAAGGCAACAAACAGGACGTTGGCAACTACCGTGGCATCACTTCGCTTAGCGCTGTTGCTAAATTGTTCGAACTCGTTGTTATGGAACCGTTACTCGCTCACTGTGAGCCGTATGTTAGTATCGACCAGCATGGTTTCATGGCTGGTCGCTCCACTGCCACTAACTTGCTGTGCCTTACTTCCTACACCCCTAACAGTATGTCGGATCGTGCTCAGATGTCGGATGTCATTTATACTGACTCATTTGCAGCCTTCGATAAGTTGAATCACCGCATATCTATCGCTCAGTGTTCGCTCAGTGTTCACTCGTCTGTCGACAGAAGCAAGCCAATCAAATGGTGGAGCCGACTTTCTTCAGCTCCAGCTCGTTCTTAAACACCTTGGACGATTTTCGAACTTTGGCCTTCATTACGGCCCAAAATCTTTCCACCGGACGAATCTCTGTTGGGGGGTTGGCGGTTTTGGTACAAAAACAACATTATTGTCTCTGTACCAATCCAACGTCGATCGCGCGTAATGGCATGATGCCAGGTCCGGCCAAAATAATGTCTCGCCTCCGTGGGACCAAAAGAAAGGCAACAGACGCTTCTGGAGGCACTCGGTGCGGTAAATTTCGCTGTTGATGGTACCCATTGTGATGTACGGTTTACTCAGTTTACCGCATTGGCATATGGCCTGCCAGAGCAAGTATTTTTTGGCGAATTTGTCCACTTTCTTCTTCCTTATGTCTTCCGGAACATCAAACCGTGATTTGGCAACGTAGAACTCCAGACCCGGTATCTGCTTTGCGTCTGACTAGATGTAGGTTTCCATAACCACACACATCGGTTTCGTTAACCACTCTGGATACAGGATTTGGATTTGGTGGGATTTGGCCGCCGTGTTTTGTTGATCACGCCGGTTCGCTGCCTTCCGGACCTTGAATACACGAAGCCCAGCTCGTTTCATGGTTTGCTGACCGAAACAGGCGGAACACTTTGCCTTCAGAGCCGCGTCACGAATCGAAAGGTTCGGATTACGCTTGAAATAATCCAACACTTTCCGGGCCTTCACAGGGTCAGCTGTCTTCGATTTTCTTCCACTTCCAGCCCGCCGCTCGGTCTTCTGGGACTCCTTAAACGATTTTACCACCCGAGACACAGTTGTATGGGTGATTCCCAGTTGTCTTCCGATCCATCTCACGGTCGCAGTCGGATTTTCCATGACGGCGCGCAAAATTCTCCGGCGATTTTGTTCTTGTTTCGATGACATCTCAATAACCACTGAACCGATTGTTATGAAATTTTGCATATGTAAACAATTCACTCCAAACTAGTTATATCCAGATTTTCATCAATTTTTACCCACGGATAAAAAAGTTACACACGGATGGTGCATTTGTTTCGAGTACAAGCCTTAGGGACGGAGATGAAATTAATAAAACACACAGTTTGCTTGACCGTCCTGCCATGGCGGAGGTATTTGAGATACTGATATATTGTTTAATTGTATTCTTTTGTATAGTAGCTATAGTGGGTAGGGTAGTTGTACATGTAGATGACGTTGCACAAACAAGTGTTTATTGTGTTGTACCTTTTGACTATAGCTTTAAGATGCTTTGTATAATGAACAAGAATCCTCGGCTCTGTAAAGTTAAAAAGGTTGAGCCTTATCAAATATATTAATGAAAAAAAAAATATATATATCGCAAAACTGGACAGGCTAGGTATCTACGGCTGCCTTTTGCTATGGATATCAGTCATACCTCACCGATCGCTATCTTACTGTTGTCTTTGGTGATCACCTGTCCCGCTGCCAGTGTTCGCTGCCACGTCCGGCATACCCAAGTGTAGTCACCTGGGACAGCTGATTTTCCTGATTTACTTCAACGACGTGAATCTAGTAATTGAGGGACCACGATTAACTTACGCAGATGACCTTAAACTCTTCCTTCGAATTCACTCAATTGAAGACTGTTGCTTTCTTCAACGTCAGTTGAATGCTTTTGCTGATTGGTGTATTCTGAATCATATGGAGGCTAACCCGTCCAAATGCTCGGTTATCTCTTTTTCACGCAGGATAGAGACTATTAT